CCTCCACCCCTTTCCCCTGTAAAAATCTGTGGAAGAGGGAAAACCAGAGCAGACACATAAATCTTCTTCCCAAGACATAGGAAGCCAGGAGATTAGATTTATGAGAGAGGAAGTCACATTGTGGTAGAACCGTGCAGGAGAACAGCAAATGACCCAGCTCTGCTCACTGGCACCACCAGTTCTCCCGGGACAAAATCTCTGCTTTCCCTAATCCCTGAGAGGGAAGGAGTTGCTAATGGCTGCAACGGGAGGCACCAGATGATGAGGCATTTGCTCGCAGCTGATGTCAGAGCAGAAGCCAGGTCCACCGCACGCCAGTCGGTAGAAGCTAATCCCATCCTGGCTCGGTGTGTTTGTAGAAGACTCGGTGTGTTTGTAGCTAGAGCCGAGGCCGCGTGTGACCGTGGGCGCAGGACTGAGCGGGACCCCTGTGGCTGGACCTGTATCCGCTCCTCGCTGAGGACGCCCTGCCACAGAGCCAGCTCAAGCCTTGCTCTTCTGGCTTCTCCTGGAGGCTCCTCCAGAGCCCAACTGCTCCGAGGCTTATGAACCTCCTCATTTCCTGCAGGCACTTAATCATGGACAGTTACATCCGCTTGTTTTTGTGCCAATACAGAGCTTCCGCTGGAACAGCGTTTCTCCCTCCTTAGCATTTAGCCCTCCTGCGTCCACAGCGAGCGAACACGACCTTGCCCGGCGACATTTGGCAGCGTTAGGCAAGTCCAGGCCGTCTAGTTTCTTCTGGGCCTGGTTCCTCCTTCACCCCCCGGCCGCTGCCCGCGCCAGCACCTTCCAGCACTCGAGGTCTCGCGCTCTGCTCGAGCGCTGGGGCGCTCTGCTGAGGAACCTGGGCTGGTGCATGTGGGCACAGCACGTGTCACCGCCCCTGCGGCTGGGAGCCGGCCCGAAGCGACACCTCCGTGACGCCACCGAGCACACGCGCGGCAAGCATCAGTTGGGCGCCTCGGAGGATTTTTACCGGTACAAAGGTCTCTTTTCTGTGTCAGCAAGTTCCTTGTGGAAGTGGCAGCTCGCATGAGCCAAGGGATCCACACGCATCCCTATTTAGGTCACTGGCTGAAGAGCTCTGCAGGAAATTAGTCACTCTTGCAGCCACGGAGCCTGGGACAAGGCAGGAGCTGGAGCTCCCACTAGGTCCTGCCCCAGCACCCGGGGGCCAGCTCCTCCCGAGGCTGCCCTGGCCCCATCTGTCACCACCAGTGTCCCAGTGATGGATCCTGCAACTCGGGA